TTTCTTGTTGGTTTCTCTCTTCCTTTGTTCAGGTTGAGACGAGCTGGAGGCGGTGGCGTAGGACGAGCGAGGTGGTGGTCATATGTGTTGATAAACCTATGCTTCCGTACTTTGATATTTATTTACTTGCCTTGGATTATTTACTGGTTTCACTTTTCGAACTATGTTAGACCAATTGTTTAACTTTGAATAATGATGCTTCTTCTTTAATTATTTTGACATTTTGGTAGACCTTAGATTTTCCTTTGAGTTAATAAATTATGCATTACTATGCTTGAGGATTATGAATAATTAGAATTTCATTCTGAACTGTTAAATTTTGTCCGTGTAAATGTGTATTGGTTTGAGTTGTTAAGTAACGGCCGTTGAGTATTAAAGACTTAATTGGGATTTTGCGAAAAATAAACTCTGATTTTTATAAATAAATTCGGAAATTCTTTAAAATAAAACGGGGCGTTACAAATAAGTCCCCAACAAATTGCAAACTCTTCAATCTCCATTTTGATGTTCACGTGGCTCCAATTTAAAATCCTGGCTGCATCTATTTCTTTTAAATATCCTAAACTTGGGCTGAAATTGTGGGCCCAAAACAAGTGTGTTAATAATCAACGTTGGGCCTAAGCTTTGGCTGATATCGGGGGAGGCGATAAATAATCACGTGCACTTTCGTCCAATGCTTCGCGTACACAAAATACTCCAATAAGCTGAAAATAAATAAAAAAATATCAATGTGTATGGATCTATTCAAATAATAAATAAGTCAAAAAAAATACAAACGTGCGAATAAATTAAGCGTATGAAAATACACTACTAAATATATAAAATGTGCACATTTTTCGACCTATCAAATCTTCCCAAACTTAAACCGTTGCTTGTCCCCAAGCAACTTAGAACTATAAGCACATAGATGGATGTAAACAAGTACGTGGAATATTTGCTCAGGTCCTCACACATCTCACATAATGCATAGCTACAACTTCCCAAATTAATAACTCCGGACTCGAAATGAAATCATCTTTAGAACGCCAACAATCAAATATCAATTCAGTGAATTACCGCAGCTCATCAATCTTTTCACCGAGTATACCAATCATGCAACTAATGATACCCCTTTCTTTGCCAACCGGTTTGGTTCCTCTTCGCTTCTAGCCAGGAATCAAAAGTCTCGATATATTTTTTTTTTTTATTTTTTCTTTTTTTTTTCCCAACTTTCCACGTCAAGTTACCTCACACAATCGACATCAAGCAGAATAGTCAGCAGCACATTTCAAAAATATAAACAGTTTGAAACCAGCTCACCACGAATAAAACACATAAACATCAATCGTCATGTCTTTGTCCCTCAAATAACAACACTTCAAGAATTTAACCAGAAATCATTAACCCGAGTCATCATAAACTAGCATTATATTCCAAAAGACACTCAATTCATCATCGCAAAATTCCACATACAAGTAACATATACTTCAACAAATCAAGATAATATATAATATAGAGCACAACTCAACAACTCACACAAATATATCTCACTCTAATGAATCTCCCCAAACTTAGAGTTTGCACATAAGAGAACAAAATAGAAAGTAAAAGGAAAGAGTTCACCTTATCAAGAGAAGAAGTCATGTCGCACACCATTGGGTTGCCTCCCAACAAGCGCCTTTTTTTATTGTCGTTGGCTCGACTTATTGCTCCGCTTTCTTCAAGCGGTCCATGGCGGCTTCATAGGTGGCCTCAAAGGAGGCATGAACCTTGAAGCTCCATGTTTATTAAGGATCCCCTCGTCCGGTGTCGGGTGCTTGACCGGATCTTTTCGTCTCGGTGGTATATCATCATGGTAAAAGATTAGCCCGGGCTCATGGATAAGAGGAAATATCTCTATCACCTCTAGGATGTAAGGCTCTTGATTCTCAACATGCTCGGCTGCTGGTTGTTTGATCTTGGATAGAAGAGATTGATTTTCAGTCATTCTCGGGGCAATTGATGGAGCTTTCACGTCATTTTCTTTCAGACGGGCTGTTATCGGGGGCCCCGATAGCTGCAGCTACCAGGTTTTTATCGGGGGGGCCGGTAGCAGCGAAAATTTGCTCCGTCTCGCCTTCTTCCTCATTCTCTTCGTCGCTCGGGTCATCGTTGGGCTCAGAAACATGATTTTCCAGCACCTCGAGCTCCATCTCTCTACTCATCCCAAGGTCTCCGACATCACTTTGGCTCGGTTCGGCTTGAGATAATAGCCGACTCTTGGCTCGGGCATCCAATTCGCTCAATAGATCACCAATCGTTTTGCTACTAGCCATCAAAGAATTTTGACACTCTTCCAATAACTTCATCAACGATGGACTAGTCTCTTGTTCAAGCGAAGGTTCTGAAAAATATTGTGAGCCTCCATAGTGGAATTGAGAATCATCGTACTCATAACTAGGCTCATACGATCGAGAATATCGTGGATTTTCATAGAATGAATTTCCACAATCTCCCCAACTGTAATGGCCCCTATCGAAATTTGAATACGCCCAACCGTCTTGTCGATACCAATCTCTCTCGGTAGCTCTACGTGCACCATACCTCTCGATCAAAAGTGGACAATCATCGGTGACGTGTCTTGTGGTATGACATAGACGACATGGTTTCTTTAAAACTTGACGAACACTCTCAATTGCTTCTTGGATCATAGCCGACATCCTAGCCTCACGATGTGGATCTATTCTTTCTCCTCTCATTCCATAATAAGAATCGTAATCACAATTCGGGCCCCAAGATGCATCAATATCAAACAAATACCACCTGCAAAAAAAAAATAAAATAAAATAAAAGGGGGATTAAAAGAGTCAAAGAAAAATAAAATAAAAAAATAATCTAATTACCTAATTCAGTTAACACAAAAAAAATCACAACTCAATTGCACCACTCCCCGGCAACGGCGCCAAAATTTGACCGCGCGTCGCGACACGGCAAATTTAAATTTATAATTTTCCTCAACTAACCTCTACTAACTAGTAGTAGCGGTGAGTAAGGGTCGATCCCACGAGGAGTAGGAATTAAATTGTGACAATCTCGTATTAATTGAATTAAACTAGGAAAGCAATAAAAGATGAGGGGGATTGGTTTTATAAAAATAAAAATAAAAATAAGAAAGTAAAATAAAAATCTAATAAAATAAGAGAAGTCCAGTTTTCGGTTCAGTTATCACCCAATCTAAATCTACCGTTGATTAATTTCGACGCCTTCTCTAAATTGCCGACGAATTACCAACCCTAGCTAACAACAAGCTCTGTTAACCGAATTTTCCCTTACCGAATATTTAATCGAAATAAGCTCTTCGACTAAACCTAACTAGTGGACAACCTAGAATAAGCTCTCTAGATTTAATTCACTAGCAGCATTAATCTCTAGAAAAATAGATCAGTCTAAGCAACGGACGCAAAAGCTCGGACCATTTAACTTATGTTCACGCTACCCTAGAGATGCACGACCCGTAGTTTACTACTAACGAAACGAGACAATAACAATTACGGATTAAAGTCTCGAATCTAGCAATTAAACTATGAATATTCAACCTAGCTGGCCAAACTAAATCAAAAACTCATAATTTATAAACATTCGACACAGATAGCATGAATCAACTCATCAACAAAAATAAATACGAAGTCTCGATTAATTAACGATAAATAAAGATCATCCAATTCATAGACAAATCGGAATTAGGGTTCAAACATTCCCTCAAACTGGATAAAAATACTAGCCTAACATACTAATAAAAATAAATATAAATAAATAAAAGAGAGAATAAAATATCTCCCTTGTGCGAGTGCGGCTTCCCTCCGCGTGTGATATGCTCTTTCCAGTTCGTGCGCTTTTCTTCTGGCCAATTCTCTTCTGTTTTTTTCTTCTGTCCCCACGCCAATAAAAAATAATTCCTCCCCAATGTTATGTTTTGTGCGTGAGTGGACTCTCAACCAATAAGTCCCCAACAAATTGCAAACTCTTCAATCTCCATTTTGATGTTCACGTGGTTCCAATTTAAAATCCTGGCTGCATCTATTTCTTTTAAATATCCTAAACTTGGGCTGAAATTGTGGGCCCAAAACAAGTGTGTTAATAATCAACGTTGGGCCTAAGCTTTGGCTGATATCGGGGGAGGCGATAAATAATCACGTGCACTTTCGTCCAATGCTTCGCGTACACAAAATACTCCAATAAGCTGAAAATAAATAAAAAAATATCAATGTGTATGGATCTATTCAAATAATAAATAAGTCAAAAAAAATACAAACGTGCGAATAAATTAAGCGTATAAAAATACACTACTAAATATATAAAATGTGCACATTTTTCGACCTATCAGTAACTGAACAGAGGACGCTAATGCAAAAATAAACGGGCTTTCATCTCCATTTACTCTCATTGTATTTTTTTTTTTTTTAATTGCAGAATTTGAATCCACATGTATGCATACACTCTTAAAGATTTAACCATTTTTCCAGCATTTACGTCTCATGCATGCATGAAACCTTTGTGTGAGTTTAGCCAAGTCAGTGTTTGGAGCTTTGAAACAATCTGTGAACAACAGTTGAGAATCATTAATTTAATAACTACAATCACATGAATTTACATAGGAACAACTGGGTAGTCTAGAAAATATGATTTAAGATTAATAACTTTTTTTTATCTGAACTTTCACGGTTTTGGCGCATCATCATATAAACTATTTTTTTTTTACAAACCACCATATGAACTATACGGGTTTGTCAAAGTGCCCCCTAAATCGGATATAAAAGTGGTTTTCACTTAAAAAAGCTGATTTGTGAGGGCATTTAATGAATTTTATATATTTTTTTTAAAAAGAAATAAAAAATAAAAAAAATTAAGAAAGAAAATAGCAGCATGCGATGGGCTCCGCGAGATCGCCATCACCACTGCCTTCCTCGGCCGGCTTGGTGAGCATCTGCTCGCCGGAGGCACCCTCGGGTTCACCTTCGCTAACGTCAACGGATTTTCCGTGCTCAACAATAGAGGAACCTCCTTCTGCCATGGCTAGCGCTGCCTCCAAGCTCTGCTCCACCACCCTCCTCACCTCCTCCGCCTCCTCCATCAGCTCCCTCAACCGCCGCTCCACCTCCTACACCGCCACAAATTAACCCATCCTCTGCCATCTCCATTCTCAGCGGGACCTCCTCCACCAACACCGCCCGGTTCAGCTTATGCTCCGTGTACAGCGGCCACAACAACATCGGGGCGCCCGACCTCACCGCCTCCAGCATCGCCACATGTGGGGCCCATGACTTCACCTCCAAACTCTTGAATGTGTCCACAATTATTTCGTCTAAATTTAATACGTCGTGAGAATATTCTTGAAAGATCTTGTAGTCGGTGGATTCCCAATCGAGCAGCAGCGCCACCACGTCGGACGACGGGAATGGCAGCAGGATGAGGTGCGTGTCCCTCATGTCCTTGAAGCTCACGACGGTCACGTCTCCATTTTTAATGGAGGTCGTCGTCTTGAGGAAGAACGTCGTGGCAGCGGTGGCGGAGATGGAGCCGAGGACGCGGCAGACGTGGGGGTTGCTGAGGCGGAGGCCGTGCAGCAACAAGAAGCCGACCATTTGTTTTTCACCTTTTTCATTTTTCTTTTTTCTTTTTCTACAAATTATACGAAATTTCATAAATGCCCTTAAAAATCAGCTTTTTTTCGTCAAAACCATTTTTTTATCCGGTTTAGGGGTTAATTTGACAAACCCGTATAGTTGAGATGGTGGTTTGTTAAAAAAATAGTTCATATGGTGATGCGCCAAAACCGTGAAAGTTCAGATGGGAAAAAGTTATTAACCCTATGATTTATTATAACATCATTTACATTCGATGTCATTTATTAAATCACCAATTACACTCTCTCTTATTCGCATTATGTCCACATCATTTTTTCACTAAATATCTGTTCATCCAAATACTCTTCTACATTCATTAAACTCAGTCATTAAATGTTGTGGGGTCCATTCAAAAAATTAAAGTATAAAAATTATAAGCAATTGGTCAAAATAAATAATATTTTTTAATTATTTTGGCTCCACATTTTCTTGTTTAATGTTGCTCAATGAAATGAATGGCAACTGTGGGATCCATGACTTTTTTATTTAAATGAGTAAACCATATTGATATTAATGGCCCTACATTCCATTTAAATGGATATAAACATCACCAGGAAGAAGAAAAATCCCGATTCCCTTTACTGCGAGGAAGAAGAAGAAGAAAAATGAGGTCTTCGTTATTTATATTGATTTTTTTAGTAAATACATGGACATTGAAGGGTATTTTCGTATTTTTGCACGCATATTTTTGGACAAAATGGTAAATTTCTCAATGGGATAAAAAAGACCCAGGGTGAGGTCGGGATGGACTTATCCGCGAATCGTTGATATGCATGTGGGCCCCGCATGCCACATTGACGCCACATGGGATCAATCTCATCCCAATCCTTCAAAGTAAACGTGTGTGTGGGTGGGATAATTTACATTATCTCATTCCATCCTGCTAAGTAAACGAGGCTTAAGTAGTTGCGTTGTGATTATTTTAAAAGAAATTTCGAATCATGCTGTTTGTTGAAAGTTGAAACTTGATTTACCAGTTTACAAAGATTTTATCAAATTAGACCTTATCCTATTAAAGCTCTAACTTCGTACGATTGTTACATCAAGTACATAATTTATTTTAACCAAATGTTTAGTTGCCGCACTTGATTAGTGTTGCGCAAATTATTCTTTAATTTGGCATGGACTGTAATCCGTCAACTCGAACTGCTTTTGTCGCTTCCGATGACCCGCAAAACGCCGGGAGGAGTCCCGGTGGAAAAGACTCCGACGCTCAAGTCAGTCCGTGTTCAATGATAATACGACAATAGTATATTTACCCGTGTATGTGTATTGTGTAAAATTAAGAACCTGTATACCCTTTTATAGTTAGGATTGTTTATTGGTCAAGGGACTTCTGATATGGTAAGAAATCTTCTCGTATCTCCAGTGTTCTTGATGATATCACTTTCCATATTTAATGGATTCAGATTCAGTTTCCTTTAGATACGATATTCTTAAGCTCCTAAGGCCACCAAAACCGCCATTCTCCGGAGGGGCTAGAGGTCATTGTTAGACCTGAAGCTCCCGAGGTCGTCGTTAGACCTGGAGCTTCCGAGGTCGTCTTTCTATCTTCTGAACCGACCCGCCCCAAATATGTTGATCATCGACTCCAGTTCTATTGACCCATAGGTTTCCTTGTTCTCCCGACCTCCGAACTGGCTAGGCTCTTGAGCCACCAACCTGAACAAACGTCATGAGCTCTCCAGCACAAAGTCGGACTAATGTTCACTGAACCTAACGGGCCTATATGTTATATGAGCCGACCTCTTACCTTGAGGTCGATCTTTCAGCAACCATCCTGATATTCAAACTAATTTGCGTGTACTAGCTTACCACCAACCCATGCCGAGCTAAGATTTCAACGGTCCGCGCGACCTACTCTAACTTGCTATATCATCTAACCCCCCCATTCTTTGAACGAGCTGCTATAGCTTGTTCATGAATGTTCACTGAGTCTGCCAAACTGACGTTGCGTATGGTTCTACATCTACCCATATTTACTATTCTGAGCGCGAGGCTTGAAGCAGTGGACCTGTCACATCGATTAGGCTTCTTGCACACGCGACCCAATATCTCAATCGTTGATTTGTTTTTGGAACGAGAGGCCATGATCTGACCTTTGAGTTACCCTGCCGTGATCCAGGCCATCCAACACAATCTAATCCAACTGTCTAAGATCCGTCTGGTCGGTTCATCTTCCGTTGCCTCCTATAAATTCAGAATCGTCCACCACAAGACCTTTTTACTGCTTTCGTTCCCTCAAGCTTTCCTTCTTCGTGTTCAAAAGAAAAAGTTCTGGCACTTCTCTGGCTAACTCCGACAACTCTTATATTTCAAGATATCCATTATAAATTGTTCGTTTGAAAAAAAATAAATAAATCAAAAGCCAGTCTTTTTGAGACTCGAGAACTTAAAAAATAAAAATAAAAAGAAAAAAATGGTTAAAAAGGTGACGTGAAGCATGTATGTTTTCCCCCTCCCCACACTCTTCTTGGGTGTCATCCTTTTTTTTAAAAAAAATAAATAAACATGTATGTTTTCCTTATAAACAAAATAGAGAGAGAATTGAAAAAAAAAAAAAACCTATATAACCCTTCAAACTTCCCATGGAAGTCTCGTGATATTCCAAATTTCATCGAGAAAAATGGTTAAAAGGAGAAGTGCCGGGAAGAACAACTGTGTTGATGGTGGAGGCGGCGGGAGCAACTACTGTCGACTCTCGGATTTCGATTTCACTGATAAAGACCAACTCGTGGAGGCAGAATCCCACAAATTCGCCGCCAAATTCGGGGCTAAAAGCCCTGGCAAAAAACCTGTACACAATCGACGACTTGTTGACAAATACCGCTTTCTCGAGTTCTGTAAGTCGATTATCGAGCGGTCGTTGTTGGGTGATCGCATAAGGTTTTTGCTTTGGTTTGGCGATCAGTGGTGGTGCTTGGTTTAGTGTAGTTTGTTTGGGCAACTTGTTTTGATGCAATTGTGTGTCGATTTCTCTTATTTGAATAGCACTTACAGAACTCTAAATTGCAACTCACCCAGTCATCAACCTATGCAGAAAAAAATTAACAAGAATTTAAGCTGGTTGTTGTGTAAGTTTATGGAAAATGCCAAATGAATTGGGATGATTTGTTTATTTTTCTATTGAGTTATATGGGCTGTTAACAGGTTCTACCCTTTCAGTCTGTAATTTTTTTTCTGAAAAAGGCACCACGGTTAGCCTGTGCACTGAGATGTTCGAACAATGTTTGTTCCTTGGGGGAAATCTGATAAAATTGGAATGATACATCTCTGCTTTTGTTGTGCTCTTACATTTTTTTGCTGAGTTTAATTCTGCTGTCCGTGCGTAAACATTGAACTGGCCTTCTGACTTCTTTCATGAACAAAATTTTGCAGTTGCACATGGAACCACTCAAAGAAAGGATTATGGGAGTGAGGTGTGTTATGTCGATGCTAGTTATGGTGCATCCCGAAAATTACTAATGCGATTATCACCTGGTTCTTTGTACTTTTCGATGATCCTTGTTCTTTCTCGAAGCAGCAGGGTTCTAAATGTTCCTCATGGCATACTAAATCCCGTGGACCAGCAGGCCGGAAAGGTCACACAACTGGCACGAAGCATGTAAACTACTAAAATAATTACTCTTCAATTTCTTCCAGAATTGGAGATTTTAGTATGTTCTTGCATATAAATATTCCATGATTTGCTCCATCTTCTTACATGCAGAACAAAGTACTGTATGTAGATTCTGATGAAGATGGACAAATGGATTTGAGATCATCAAGTTCTGTTGATGTTGAAGAGAATCAAGGTTATTTTGTCATCATATTTGAAACAATGATCTGCATCGTGGTGGTCTTTTCGATCTCATTTCCACTTCGGTAAAAATTACAATTTATGCATATATTTTTCTGTGGGCTCCTTTTCAGGTTCATCAAAGAAACAATCATCAGACTCTGAAGCCAACAAGAATGATTGTGTTAGTGTATTACTTTGAAATAATTTATGTTGGGAGCAAAAGGATGTGCATTGTGTAATACGCAAGTTTTTTNCTTTATATCCGGCACACACAAATCAGATTTTGAAATTCTAAGCCCTCTTAATAGCTTTTCCAATCATACCAAGAAAATTACTTGAGACTTCTGAAGTAGCAGATAATGAATTTCTTGTTCTTGGAGTAATCAAGCTTTCTCTTTTTATCTTTTTTAATGTATGAACCATTTGTTCTTCATTTATGTATTTTTATTTGTTTGTTTTGTAGGAATCAGTGGTGGTTGTTTCACCCTATTTTGTTAAATATGCGAACAAGCATTATATGAGCTGTCACTTAAAATTTTCTCAAAGGTGCATTAGACTTGAGATACCCCTTGGCGAGGGAAACAAAGAAAATTTTCTTGAATGGCCGACACGTGATATTATGAAAATTGAGCATCAGCAATGTAAAAGTGTGAGTATCATTTTGACCTTTCACTTGCTGAAACACACTTACCTTATTTCTGTATGGAGTGGTAATATTAAATTTAACTTAAATATTTTTTGATTGCTAACTTTAGGCTAAAGCCGAATTTGTCAATCTACACTTAAAATCCAAATGCATAGTCATTGCTGATACTGGGAATTGGAACTCAGGTTAGGCCTCGATAATTGTTATTATTTTTTGGTAGATAACCCTCTCTCTCTCTCTCTCAACATTGCTTTTCCATAAGGATGTTGCTTTTAAGAATTTGTATTGCCTAATCATTTTGGCTGTCCTTGAACTCCTATTCTTTAGACATTGTTACTTCAATTTTTTATATTGAGGTATCTGATCTATTATGACAGTTCGCATTCTCTGGATGCCTAGGGGCAAAAATGTAAAATTTATACTTTATATTTGTTGCTTGGGAACTGGAGGCTAATGTAATAGATATGGGTATCATAATAGTCATGGACTTATTCTTACCGCAAATTGCATAAGATGAGAATAATGAGTTTGATTCATATTTTTCTCAAACGTTGTGAATGAGAGAGTGATATACAAAATGTAGTTAGTTTTGGATATTTAATTGGGTGACTTGAGGCTTTAAGACAAAAAGTTCACTGGCTAACAGTCAGTTATAAAATCTGATTATACATTCTTGTACAGTAATAGTGCTTACGCTGTCCTGATACTAATAATTTAATAAAATTGCACATCGTATTATGCCTCAATACCTCATGCAGATAGAACTATTTAGTTGCTAGATCTTTGAAATGACCAACCTTATATATAGTGTTGAGCACAATGTTTATTGGATTAGAATTTCCATTAATGTTTTTGTTGCCTTGTCTTAGAAACTCCCGACATTATCATTTTATTATTATTCAATTTACTTCAAGATGAACATGTCAACTCAGTATTGGATGCCTTTTAACGTGATTGTTTTTACAATCTAAGTGCACATGAGATGCAGTTATTGGGTTTTCAGTTAACTCTCAGTTTCATTAATACTGGGCAGGCAGCGTACAGCTTGAGTTTGTTGTTCATGATAATTCTGAGTGGCCTGGGAAACTAGCGGCCATAAAATCATTGGATCTGAAATATGAAGCTGCTTGGGAAACTATCATAAAGTAAGCTACTTGTTGACAGGTTATAGATCTATTTTCATGAACACTTTTTATCTGCTGGCATTTTCCACGATTCGTTAAGAGTTAGATGAACACAATGCTATAATTGTGTGCAATGTCATTGGTTGGGCATTTGGTTTTCTTTTCGTTTTGTGTTTCCTTTTTTTCCTCAATCTTCATGGTTTTTTAGGTGAAACAAAAACTGCACCATTATACAAGAAGTTGAATATATTACTCATCTATGCTTATTTTAATCTTTAAAGATTACCGTATGGGTCTGTATTTAAGTTAAAGAAAGTAAAGTGAACTTTTTGTTATTTCCATTGTGCAGTGAATGCAATTTTGATGAGTCCTTTGAAGGCATAATCTATCCAGATGGGGATCCTGATGCTGTCTTCATAAGTAGAAAGGACATCGAGCTATTACAGCCAAAGACTTTCATCAATGATACTATTATTGACTTCTATATTAAGTACGGCAAGTCTGCATAATATTTCACTCCTTTTATACTTGATTACATTTGGAAGATTATCTCCATTTCCCAAAAACATTAGTGTTCTTCTTGGGATGTGCTCTTGTGCCTCTCTATTTGCTTCGCCACCTAGGTCGTTCTTTATTTTATTATTTTTTTTTTTTTGTCCTTCTCTAAAACTAGCACATTCCGTGCGATGCACGGTACATATTAATCACTATACTATAAAAATAAAAGATAATCCAATTTTTGAGTTGTATAATGCATCGACAATTTTAGACCATAATTAATTATTTATAGGCAAACTATTTTTTGATTTATTATAATTATAAGGATAAGAAACTTGTCAATATCTCACTTCATTAACTTTGCAAAAAGAATTCTAGATAGTGGGAAGGTTCAAATGGAAAAATAGTTTAAATATTAAAATCATTCTAACTTTTTGCTATTATTATTATTATTTAGATAAATTAAAACTATCAATTATCTCATTCTCCTCTCATTCTCATGTGATCGAGTTCTCCATTCTTCTTTATCGGCCATAACACGGGGTTATATTCTTTTGCAGTTGAACAACTTCAATAAATCAATATCTACATATTTGAAAGAAAAAACACATTGAAACGATATATGGATATGGATCATGTATAATGAAAGAGTTAACTTTTAAAATAATTTAGAATTATATTTCTTACAAGTCATCAAATCGCAACTATTTTGTTTTACCGTAAAGTCTGCCTGATGATGATGCAACTTCAGTATTGAATGTTTTAGGAAAATAAAAAATAAATGTATTTTCTAGCAACTTTATATACATAGCCTTGCAACTCATTTGGTTGTTATGTTTCATTCTTCTCGTGTAGAAGGAAAATGATTATAATTCCCAATTATGTTCAAATGTATTAAAGAGTGTAATATTACTCTATAAAAATTTCATTTAAAATTTACTTAGTAAAATTCTTATAAATGGAAAAGGCAGAAGTCATTCCATTTAAATTCAGAAGAATCCATATCCATAAATCCTAAAATTGGGCAACCCTTTTCTATAAATAAATATGTAGTAAATTTTAATTGACAAAAGTTTTAATGCAAGTATGAAAGATCGTCTCTCTGTTGTCAGCAGTCACATGATTCTCAATGCCAATATATACTGAATTGTATACATTCTCTTTTTTCCAAATATATTGTATTGTATCGATTTCATATATAGAGAATATTGTTTTAACAAATCCGAATATTCAATTAGGATCAAATCTTCAATTAGGACCAATGGCACGCAATTAAGATGCAATTAGCATATCAAAATCCAGACACTGTTTTACCAAATTACAAAATTTCCTATTTTAGTAACAAATAATTAGACTGGCGAGAACCAGGTTCCAGATTTTTAGCTCTCACCTCTTTCATGGTTTATTTATCTTTTCACCTTTCAATCAACTGAATCAAGGAATGAGCTCCTTCCACCAACAATTCCCAACCCCCATCTGCATGTTGTGTTGTGTCCGTAAACATATGCATGTGAACAGAATCAGAGTCTTTGAAGAAATTTTATCCTTACTGCTCAAGTTTAAGTAATTGCTATAAAATTACAATTAGTGGCAAAAGATTAATAGTACCTTCGTATTCTGTATCTGGTGCTAGGAGATTTCTTGTAACACTATTAATGTAATTTTCTATATGTGGATTAATTTTGAGGATGGTAATGTATAGTTTTTATGAACCGCATCATAAGATGGCTTGAATAATGATAGTGGTGTCTCTACCGTGATAACCAACTTGTCAAATTTTCACATTTACTTACAATGTGTGGTTGAATGGCAGGTATCTCGTAAATAATACTAACAAGGAGAAGCAGCGTAGGTTCCATTTCTTCAATACATTTTTCTTTCAGAAGCTTCTGGATATGGATCGGGATCTGTCTCGAGATTGTGAAAATAGCGATTCTTTTCATCGCGTTCGTAAATGGACGAGGAATATAAATATTTTTGAAAAAGATTACATATTTATTCCTGTAAACTTCAGGTAATAAATGATGTTATAGATTTCTCAGTAGTAATTATTTCCAAGTTTGTTATCTAAGGCCACTTTACCCCTCTTATTTGTAGCCTGCACTGGAGTCTGATTGTTATCTGCCATCCTGGGGAAGTTGCTAACTTAAGAGGCATGATGATTCTTTGCACAAGTGTTATGCCTTTTTGTTTATTTAGTTTTTACTTGTTCTTTTTTCCCCCTCATATTTGGATATCCTTGTGCAGACAAAGATCTGGATAGCATAACTAAGGTGCCATGCATTTTGCATATGGACTCTCTAAGAGGAAGCCATGGAGGGCTAGAGAATCTTATTAGGAGGTAAGGTGCTGGTAGTTGATGCTCAAGATACTGTGTTAGTAAGTATGAGGCCCTTTCTGTCCCATCATTGTATGATTTCGTATATGGAGACATTGTACTCTATATTGTGTATCGTCTTACCCAATCCATTTGACAATTGCTTTGTGCGTGTTATGTGATTCACTTTCAGCCCAGAGGCAGTAATCAGGAAAATCTAATTTCATATGATATCTTATTACATTGCTAGTTGTTGCAAGAACAGAATTTTCTGCATTTAATTCAGGAATCTTGTTGAGAAACGGTAGTCTTGGTCAATCATTGTCTTCTTTGGTAAGAAATGAAATATGAATAAGCAATATGTGAAAATGATGAGGCTAACTTTTTTTTTCCCAATCTCTCTATCTGATTACAATTTTATAAGTTTATTTCCTTGATCCATTTATTACTGACTGGAAATGCTATGCTATAGCTAACTGTTCTTTTCCACAAGGGACGCTGAGCTTCTAGAGAAATGCTTATTTTGCATTGTGTGGCCTCTCTTGAAACACTATCTTTGACATGCAATTATCTCGCATGTTATTATCTGCCAAACTTCCTTTTGGTAAACAAAGTAACCCTTTTTTTTTCATGCCGATCTATTTGTACATTCATCTACTACTTTGGCAGTCTATGTTAATGTTCTCGAACCACGATTATCAATTAACCAAAGCTCATTCTCAGTTTCTATTTAATCTTCCTGATGGTTGAGATGTAAATATAAAAGCAAGATCTGTCATACATAATATTCTGATTTTTCCGGATTGAATTGAGGAACGTTTGTCAGTTTGAGATAAGGTGTTACATAAAAGTTTGTTGAATTCCTTTTTCTGACCCCTGTGATTGCTTGTGTGAAAAAAAATCTTGAATGCTCAGGATCCCAGAATTTAAGTCTTGTTTTTCTTTTGAAATTCCAGTTACTTGTGGGAAGAATGGAAAGAGAGGGGGTATAAACAAGAAAATGACATTTCACAAACGTTCTTGAATTTGGATTTTATAGAGCTTAAGGTTTGACTACTCTGCAGAACCTTATTCTTGTTACCTTTCAGTTATTTATTTTGCACTTGATTGCTTGAATACTGGTGATATAGATATGGAGTATAGATCTATCATTGTGCAAAATTACATCCTTTAATTGCATTTCTACAGTTGATAATGGTGCTCAAAGGTGTACTAGCTGACAGGCTTAACCCATTGTGGTTGGTTTGTTT